CAAGTCTTTACAAGGAATCAGACTTATTCTGCTCACCTCTCTAGCTTCAACAGCACAAGGTCTGCTTCAACAGCACAAGGTCTGCTTCAACTATCAAGGCACCCCGGAAATAGGCCACAAGAGTGTGACAAACATACAAAAGAAGTAGAGGAAAATGACAATAGTAAGGATTAGGAAAGAAAAAGCCACAGTTCCCTGTTGTAGATCAGGCACAGTTATGAGCGTAACATGAATCAGCCCATTTACAATTCTACTGTGCTTGAATGAGAAACGTCCCCCCTTTGGGAATGGCAGAGAGTAACAAACAACAAAGAAAGAGGAGAGGCAAAGACGATAGATGTTGGATAGGAAAGAAGGAGCAAGCTACACCAGACCACCCTCCAGCCACTCACTGACAACACTGTGCATGTCTGAGGAAAGCCTCAAGGAACATAAAAAAAGACACTGCACATTCATGAAAACAACAAAGCATTCAGAAAAACATACAATACACAGACATCAACACCTTGCCATTCTGCCACAGCACAAAGGATAGAAAAAGACATACAACATACTGTGCGTGAGGAAATAAGACACCCTGAGACATTCATGGGTGCGCAGTGGACTTTAGAGCTGGTGTCTGCAGGCTTGTGCTTTGCTTTGCCTCCCGCTTGCTACCGGGGGGAACTTCCGGAGTGTTGTGACTTGCGGACAGTCTTGCCAGGTTGCAAGCAGGCAAATCAAATCATAGGACTCAAGTGTCTTGCTGTGCTGAGACTTGACGGCCATCCACTGCTCGCAAGCCTTCGATTAATCGAGCAGACTCCAGCTCTAGTGTCCCGCTGCGTAGTGACACCATGAGCGGTCTCTCTTTCTTTCTAACGTAAGTGGCCTCGCCGATTGCAAGCAGGGTGGAAGGATGGGGATCTGACACGAGGGGCTTCGCGGATTGCTAGTTGGTGTGGGCTTGAAGCTTAGAGGAGACTCAACTTATCAAGCTGGTGATTTGATTTGATGATTTGACCTAGTGATTTGAGGCTTGTGACTTGAACTAAGGGCTTGCAAGCACGAGCGGGTTGGCTACCGGGGTACAGCTTTAGTGGACTTGGTATTATTCTGGGTTGTGGTGCAGATGGCCTAAGGCGTGCTTGAACTTAAGTTCTTCAGTTATGTTCAGGGTTTTCTGCTTACAAGGCTCGATCTCAACACAGCAAAACAAATTTTTGGTAAACAGTCGAGATGACACAGGCGTGCATTTGAACGAATCAGACTTTTTTTTCTGCACAGCTCATAAAAGGCCTATGCAGGCCTTCCAGGCACCACTTGTTACTTTTCTTGTTCAGTGCCCGTAAATATCAACACAAAACCTTATGTTTGCAATAACGAACACTCGGATTCAACAAGATTTTATGTCAGGCCCGGCGACCTCGTTGAATCAAGAGTTCCACTGTACCATGTCCTAAAAAATAACCCCACAGTACTGAAAGGGGCATTAAAGCCATACAATTATAATTATTGACATACCCAAGCCGATGGTGTGTCTGCCTTCTGTGTGGGCTGCTCTCATCTGAGCTACCAAGGTCGCACTGTCATAACCAGCATTGTCAGCAATGATAGTGGGCAGCTGGGAACAAAAGAAATAGTTGACTAAATACAACAATTTGTCTTGGTTTATGGGGAAACAGGTTAGATTTGTCTCTTTGAGTAAACATAGACACAATTGCAGTCATCAAGTGCAGGGAAAAAGCAAGGAAGACGGACAGAAAAAAAAAAAAAAAAAAAAAAAAAAAGTAGCAACTACCAGAGACGCCCTATAATCACCCGCAAACACACATGAAATAAGACAACACAAGAAATAAGAACACACATGAAATAAGACAACACAAGACAAAAATATTGTCAGTTGGGAGAATCTGACTGGAAGCTTTCACCAGTATCTGCACACAAAATGTACATACACATCAACATATCACATGCTTTGCATCCACCCCCCCACCACATTGATTCCCGCCCTCACTACAACCTCATAACATAGTAACTCTGATCAAACGTAAGGCATACACATGTAATAAAATATGCCAGTGCTCTGCTTCTTTGGTAAAAAAAAAAAGAAGTATTGTGCCAAGAAAAATATATATCTAGTCCTCCATAGTGTCTTTCCATCCATTAAAGACGGCTCACCTGTCTGAGAGACTTAGCGAAGGCCTCCATGGCTACAGCCTCCTTCCCAGGGGTTTTGGCTGCCAGTTTGCTCACAGCATCAGCCATCAGCATCTCAGAGCAACCTGCACATAGACAGGAGTTTGGGTAAAGAGAAGCACATGTACAAGATAACAGCCATTTAGCATAGGGGGGGGGGGAGAAGGGGACGACAAATAGACAATAGAAAAAGACAAAAAATAAAAAGGATGCACCAGTGGAGCCACCAAATTTCACAAGTCAATAAATGTGAAATTAACTCTTTGCTGCCTCATCTTGCCAATTTGCGATGTTTACCACCCAGCTTCTTTGGATTTTCCCCAAAATATGATGGCAAAGTGTTGAAAATAAAATTTTATTACATTATCAGCGTATACCAACCAGTTTTGTTTGTTTGAGTAAAGAGAAACACATTGACACAATAATGATAATTTAATGTTGGGAAAAAAAAAAGCAAGACCAAACCACCCCCCTCCCCCCCCAAAAAAAAACCCCAGGGAAAGTAAAGATGTAGGACCTACCAAAAAGAATAAAACAAATGCCACCTGAAGTCGGGAGTCAGAAGAAGGAGGTGTTAATACAAACACGTCAGAACAGACATACAATAAAATAAGGAGTCAAGCTGTACTCACCTCCTCCATAGACTGTGCGGGTTTCTTTGACCGTCTGTGACAGGACACACAAGGCGTCGTGCAGGGATCGGTCAGCCTCATCCAGGATCTGTTGAGTGGCACCTCGCAGCACGATGGTACAGGCTTCTCCAAGGGCAACACCTGCCACACATACAGAAACAGACAGTTGTAAAAACTATTTCAAAACTTTTTTAAAAATTCCATGGAAGCTCACTCACCTAAAAAACATAAAGGCAACTATAATCATAACAGAAAATTTGCAACACCATGCCTCTGAAAAAACCTTAGGGATCTTTGGTACATGGAGACACTGCTTAACGACAGCTAAATGTCTTTATATTTTTTGTAATAGTTTCAGATAGACAAAATTAGCTCTACCCATACCCTTCATCATCTCTACCATGCTGTCTCATTGAGCCTCATGTATCTTCAAGAACTGCGACAATTTTTAAGTACAACAACAAAAGAGGACAAAAACAAAACATTGACAGCAGAATTTCCGAACAAATACATAAAAAGAAAAAAAGAATTGCATACAAAAGAATAAAAAACACAATTACCTGAGAACTTCAGCAGTTTGTCCTCTCCAATCATGACTTCCTCAATCAGATCACATGTTCCAAGTTTGACTTTCTCTGGGCAGTCGAAGGTCGAGACAATTTCACCACCTGAAAAGAAATGTCAGACTGTAAGGTAAAGCCTTTTTAAATCCAGAAAGTACGAAAATAAGACCTGGACAATTTTCCCAACAAACTGTGTAAAAAGGCGAAAGCCAAATACTTCTTAGGAATATAACACAGCCTCAGAAGATAAAGCTACACAAATAGGGGCTGTTTCGACAAGGAGCATAACAGAACCCTTATTGTTTATTCAACAAAACAGAAGAATAAGAATAGGAGAGCCTTGACCAATGGCCGAGTCTGAGATTGTAACAAACATCGCGTCCTGTTTAATCAAGGAACAAAGTGTTCCACATCCCATGAAGACTACGGGGTACCACAGAAGACACAAAAAAAAAGATCTAGTTCCTATAACATTAGAAGTGAAGGAAGAGAAACTGACACTTTCTGCTTCCTGGGAAAAATAAGCTTTGATAGAGGTGGTCATTTTGCCACCAACACCACAAATGTTCACTTCTCCAAAGGAAATTTCAGTTGGGCACCTTGCCATTGGCGGTTTGGGAACCAGTCCGAGCTAATCTGGTGACAAAGTTATGAAGGCCCAAACCTTATTCTCACGAGACCATAACATTCCCATCCGATCAATACAATAAAATTATTGACAATACCTTGAGAACCAGCCTAGTGTATTTCTCTTTGATAAAAAAATAACGTAAAGTTTGAAGAAAACATGAGAATGTTGTTACCTGTGACTAAAGCTAATCTTTCAACGCCTTCAAAATCTGCATGCTCTATAGCCATGACTCCAGCATCAGAGAACAGCTGCTCGGGGTAATTGTAGATCAGTTGTCTGCAAGAGAAATGGTGAACTTGAAAAATAAACATTTGAACCAGCAAACCCTTTTTTTCTTCTTTTAAAACGAAGACAACTGACACATGCTAAAGATTTGAAATCTTTGATCTAAGACAAAAGTAGCACACAATTCTCCCATCTTTGGAAGATGCTTCTCACTTCCAGCTTAACAAGCCACATGACTGTGAGAACATACTAATCCACCTGTTGATGTATATGATAAGTAACAATTTGATCACCCATTTGCTGATTTATAACCTACATGACAAGATACCTGCCCACTCGTCGATATACGCTGGCATATTGATTTGGTGTTTCACCACACCCACATATGCATGCGTGCGAGTGCACACAAATACACACATCCTCTCTTCCACACAATATATGCTTGCACTCACAAACAGACCCACAGTCAAAGGCATATAAAATAAATGAAGAATTAATCATTATTCACAAGCTAAATACATAATCAGCTTCCTTTTTAAAAAAAATAGTAGAGGGTTTTACAGCACTCGCAACTGCATACGGTCATATGAGCGCCAAGGGTGGGTGTCAACAGAGAAGTCTTTACAGGGAATCAAACTTACTCTGCCCACCTCTCTAGCTTCAACAGCACAAGGTCTGCTTCGACTATCAAGGCACCTCGGAAATACAGGTCACAAAAGTGTGGCAAACATACAAATGAAGTAGAGGAAAATGACAATAGTAAGGATTACAAAGGAAAAAGCAGCAGTTCCCTGATGAAGATCAGGCAGTTATGAGCGTGACATGAATCAGCGCATTTACAATTCTACTGTGCTTGAACGAGAAATGTCCCCCCTTTGTGAATGGCCTCTGATAGTAAGTGAAGTAAACACACCTGGTCACTACTGAGTAGCACCCTCAGGAGCCATAATACACAACAATACTAACTCACCTGTTGATAAACACACTGCATCCATGTTTCAATATTTTTTCCACTTTGAGCTTCATTTTCTCCTTTTCGGCAAGCTCCAGTTGAGCCACTTTAGACACAGCATCCACACGAACCCGAGAGCCAAACACCTGCAGAAAGAACGCAACGCCATATTATTACTTGTGAAAACTAGTAGGCCTACCTGTACCAATCGTCTGACATGCTTTTCAACACTGATAGATCATTTACGAGGCGAGACTCCACAATCTAAGTTCATCTACAAAACGACAGAACCTTGAAAGCTTTCCAAACCATTTTGGATCAATAATGCCACATAGAAGATTTTAGCCAGTACCATAGCCAAACATGATAACAACTGACCCCAACTAAATACTCCCCAACATCACAGTCCACAAATAGGAAAAGTAACAGACAGGATTACATCTTTTCAACAAATTAAATTAATATTCATAAAAAATATATACAAAAAACACATCAAATTAAATGTCACAATCAGTCTGACCAAAGTCAATAAAGTATTAGTTAAATGAAATTTCACTGGCAATATACGTTCCTTTACCCTGAATGAACTTCCACCATTTAACATTGTGCAGCAGCAAAGCTACAAGAAACACAATAGTACTACATTCAGGGGCCATTTCACACATAAGAAACTTCTGTAATCAATTTCTGCTACATATTTAATTATAGACTCCTGCTACAAATCTAATGATAGATCTCTTTGACACACCCAATAATATTAATTACACTCCTATCATAACAAGGCTGACTTACTTTGATTTTGTCAGTGTCCATGGGGGTATTGGCAATCAGAATTTTAGCATTCTCGATCCTCTTGGGCTGATTCACACCCACCTTCTTGTCAAGGAGAAAGCCTGATGAAAAACATAAACATTCAACTCACATTTCTAAAAACACAACAACACAATCAGCTCTCAAACCCCCATCCCCCAACCAAATAAAACCAAGAGTCACCAGAAGTGCAGATCATATCTAACAACAAACTATTGTCCAATACTTAACGGACAAACTCGTCAAACTGCACTGGTTTTAATAATAATAATAATAAATAGCATTTATACTGCGCATTTCCATTTCCTAAAAGATGCTCAATACGCATTACAATGAAAAAGACATCACATCTTAAAAATTAATCGACAAGTGTGTACGTAAAACAAAGTATTATACATATAATATAAATGCATATGTGTAAAATTTTATACGAGAAAAAGTCTCGCAGTGAGGTAGAAAATGTGTTCACTAAAAATATACAATGCAATAAAAATTTACGAATGGTCAAAATAAAGTTGAAACGTGAGTAACTAGAAACATTCATTAAAACATTAATTCTATACAGATAGAAAAACATTTCCGTTCTTTCTCTCTCTCTCTCTCTGTCTGCCTGTCTGTCTCTCTCTCTCTCTATCTCTTTTCTCTCTCTCATTCTCACTCGCTATTTCTTCAGTCTCACAGTCTGGCATACACATGCATATATATCACAGTACATCATTATGACAGGTATGCTTTTGTGAATAAAAAATGCTTCAGCTGATTTTTGAAAATGGAAATTGTTGGGGCAGATCTTATTTTATATGGGAGTTCGTTCCATACCTGGGGACCAAAGAACAAAAAGGAACGCTCGCCATATGTTTTGTAATTTTGTTTTGGAGTTTTAAGAATTAGATTATCAGAGGCTGATCTAAGGGCTCTAGGTGGATGATATAATTCCAGGAATGTTTTAAGATAAAAAGGTGCACTATCATTTATACATTTAAAACAGAGAACGGCAGTTTTGTATTTGATCCTTTCTTTCATTGGCAGCCAGTGTAGTTCTTTCAGAATTGGTGTTACGTGCGCTGATTTCTTTTGTTTCATTATCAATTTTGCTGCTTGATTTTGGAGTACTTGTAACTTTGATAGTTTTTCGGATGTCAAACCGGACAAAATAACATTACAGTAATCTAACTTTGATAAAATGAGTGTTGTTACAAGTGTCTTGGCTGCTGCTTTAGTTAAATAATTTCTTACACTGCCAATTTTCTTAAGCTGAAAGTAAATACTTTTGCTGAGCTGGCTAATTTGGGAGGACATAGACATATCATAATCCAACTGAACCCCTAGATTTTTAAGACTTCTTTTTTATAACACACCATTTTCACGATAATGAAATGACATAAAGTTTAGCATTTTAATATATTACCTTCATCGAGATACGAGTCAGAGAGATTTCCTCCCAGTTTCTTGATCAGTTGAATAGCATCCAGGTTCCCACTTCCCTGTAAACGGAGAAGATTATGTCATTGAGGGGAAAAAGAAAAACATAAGGAGCAAACTATTCTTCAACTTCCATGAACAATGAAACAGGAGACTGAGTTTAAGTGAAGAGGAACACATTAACACAATAATGATAATTAAACACAGGATTTAAAAAATATGGACAGCGAGACAGAAACAACAAAAGGAAAGAAAAAGAAGTATGCCCTAAAAGTTGTGCCCTCCATAAACATCTGCAAGGAAACTTAATTGCTTAAAAGAGAGACTAATCTTTTAACACACAGAACTACTATTGGAACTAAAACTAAGTACATTTCATTAATATTTTTACAACAAGTACAGAAACTCTTCCCAATAGCCCAGTATTACTTCTTAAGACATCGATGATACATTAGTGATAATGTTATCTTAATATCTTAATGCTTCATCAATTTAATTTTCAAGTACTGTGTTCAGAGGAAAAAATTTACTTTTGTACTTATTCCAAAGCGCAACAAGTTTGCCATAGCTGCCACTCAGGAATTTCAAAAAAAGGAGGAAATTCACGCGAAGGCGTACGCGCGCTCTCGGAAGGCCGGAGTAAAACCAGTGAGATCCAGAGGCAATATATACTGGAAAATCTAGCCTATGGTTTTGGAAGGGAAAACTGTCATATTTGTTAACCATAGGCTACTGAATTAAGATGTATTTGAAAAAAAAAAACAACTACAAAAAAAACAATACAAAAAACCAACAAAGGCATTAATAAGACTAACAAGCATTTGAGTCAATTTGACACAGTTTGGATTTGGTGACTAAAAATCCAGTGTTTGTTGCAAGCTGGTGTCTTATAAAAAGATTTCTTTCACTTTAAACTTGTACATCGATGTAGAGCGCGCGCAGTATTGGATCAAGGAGGCAACACCTTTGCCGCTGTACTGAGCCCTCCAGTACAATTGCGGTCCTGTTTGCACTTAACTTAGTAGATCTAGTCCCTCTGTAGTGTGTAGATCTAACCTGAATTAAAATTATAGCCTAGGCTATCTAATCTAGATCTAGAAATCTAAATATGTGTAAATCTAGATTATATCTAGAGATAGATTATCTAGATCTAGACTCACTTCCACAGCCACAATAGCCGTCATGTAAACAAACGGGACCGCAATTGTACAGGAGCGCCGCGGGCGGCGATTTCTTTATCGCACCAAACGCAAAGTGCAGCAAGCGGCTTGTTCAATTTTCAAATGAACTTTTCAAGTCGCACACCGGCTGCTTCTTTCTCATTCCAGCTCCTTTTATTTTTGCATTCTGCATCAATTTCTCTCGAATTTCTGCCGTTTTCAATGACAGCTCGGCGCGCCATCGCCCCGATGCCCGATCGACACTTTGTTGCTCCACAATAAAGTGAAACTAGCCCTAGGCCTAGAGGAACGGAAGTAGAAAGCTACGGGCGGACATGCGCAAGCTGCGTTTTCGTCTCTTTCCCGGTTCAGTGTTTTCCGCGTGTAAAAAAGTATCGCAATTTGCGACCGAGAGCGGTCCAGCGGAGGAAGGGGGAAAGAAGCGGGAAAAGCTAGATGAAGCGGAGTTTCCGCTATTTAGCGGGAAAGTGGCAGCTATGGTTTGCCCATAGAGCAAACTCTGGGGCAAAGAAAAAAAAAGACAAGTTCAAGAATACTTTTTTTAAGACACTGGCAGAAAGGGGAAAGCTGAAAGACAAAAAAATGTTTCATTGTAGACAGAATTAAATGAAGAAATGTTTAAACTGCAGACAATATTACTTTTTTTTGTAGACCAGAATGAAACAAAATCTTGAACTGTACAATAAGAATTGGCCACAATCAACATGGGCTAAAAACATACCAAAAGAGGAAAACATCTCACAGCACACTGGGATTGTTGGGTGTAAAGAGCATCACACTGACACAATTTTATGGCTATTTACTGCTGGAATAAAGCATGACAGACAGCACCAACAATGAGAGTAAAGAAGTACGACCTATTATAGGCACCCTCCAACAACCCACACACACTTAGGACAGAAAGTCCTAATGCACTAACCTTAAGCCTGAGAACTGATTCAACAGCTAAATTGGCAAACATATCCTTGTGTTGGGTGAGGATCTTGGAGCTGAGGGTAGTCCTGGCGATGTTCATCAGATCTTCCCGGAACTTCACTGGATCCTTCCTGATAATCGAAAATAAACCTTTGTTAAAATAACATACAAGTAAGTGAAATATGAATAGTAAAAAAAAAGAGGCGGTGACATCCTGAGTGTTCTACCAAAAAATGTTAAGTTGACTAGAAGACTATCAACACACAATGACGAATGTGGCTGATGCACAGAAGGGTATCAGTCGTCACGCTCAGGTCTGTAAGATCCGGTTCAGCAATTCAATGTGACATTCAACCAACATCAAGACATCTAAAAGTACGAATCACACGATAAAAAGAATATCAAGGACTTGTCAACAATACACAAAACAATGGCAAAGAAATAGTCTTGTTGTTTACCCCGAGATGAGGTCCCAACTGTTTCTTTACCTGTGAGATTGAAGTGAAAAAGAGAACAATCATAGAATGATTTAAAAATAATAATTTTAAAAAAATATATCTCTTAGAAGGTCTACTGACCCATGGTCACTTGCAGCGTCGGTGAGAGCCTGGCGGGCAACGTCTACTGCCTTCCTCCAGCCGGAAATGATGGTCTGAGGATGAATCTTCTGGGAAACTAAGCTCTCTGCCTCCTGCAACAGGTACAAATGAAATGACAGTGACAATCTGCAAGTTGATATGTGTATGAGAACAACTTTTTCAACAATAAACAAGCTTAAGTTACAGCTCAAGTAACTTCATTCCATAATTATAATTTCATATATTTCTGAAGAATATACTCAGTTTTTACAAAAACATACTATCCATGTCAGACTCAAACCAGATATCTACCCTTTTTAAAATGAAAAATGTCATTTCTGTCTTATCATCTTCCAGAATTGAAAATTTGATGCAGAGTTCTTTTTTATATAATGAGGTACCAATAATTGTGATCATGGTTTAAAAAACCCAACAACATTAATTCATATAAAAGAAGCGTTTGGATCCTAATTTGTACCAGGACACTGATGATATACAAAAGGACTGTACTACAAACCTTCAACAGTTCACAAGCAAAGACAACAACCGATGTTGTTCCATCACCCACTTCATCATCCTGCACTTTAGAAATGTCTGAGGACAGAGAGACCAAAACCAAAAATATTTAGTTTGAGCCTGAAGGTGTCTTTCAAGAATTAAAGAAAATCCGAAAACTCAATCCATTTTTTAAAGGATCAAATGACCATAGAACATATTAGAGCATATATATGCAGTTTAATTTGATGAACAGGTTTCCTGTCCATGGCTCCTATTTTTGCAAGTAATACTTTCAATAGGTTCCAAACCCCATTGAAGACCAACTGCATACAGAAACTACCTAGTCATATATATAATTTCTTGTCTGAAAAGTTACGCCCATCAAAAACCTAAGCCAGTGCCATATTCTATATTTTTAATAAGTTAAATAAGTCTGAAACAGATTGTTAACTAATATATACAGGGTCCCCACTAAATCCTGGAAATTTTTTTCAAGACCCCAATTTGAGGGAAAAATAAGACCGCTACGCATCAAGAATGATCCCCAAAAAGCCCATCTATCAACGATAAAAGTCAAAATGTCTTTAAATGAATGCAAACATACATTTTGTAGTAATAGTCTTCAAATAGTAGATGATTATAATACTGGGTGACTGCCAACCTAGCTTCTCATTTTCCAGGGGGGGGGGGGGGACTAATCCATTTTTCAGGGGCATGCTACATAACAATGAAAGAGTGTGCTCCATTTATATCTAATATGTATGTTATGTTTGTGAACATACACACACACACATGTAGGTACATTATTATATCAAGCCAACAACATGTCAGTGTGGCACTGGGATCTTGTATGACTTTGGTATTTCAGTCTGTTCTTACTTATTTATATTATCCCCTCATGATTCATATTAGCCTACATAAACTATATAAAAAATGAATCCCGTTTTGAGCCTGAGAAAAGACCCTAGAACCAGAATATCGACTGTCAATAACCAGTCTGGGTGTCACGATTCATTAATCATCATAAACATGAAGATGAACTATCGCTCAAACTCAAAGTAATATTAGTAATAACTTGAATTGCTCAAGTAGACCTATTCAGTGTGAGAGATGTAAGAACTGAGGGAGGGCAAGATGCAGTGACACTGAAAATCTGCCAATCTTGAACAGAAAGCTAAAATATAGATGTAAATTACTATCACCCCATCCAATGGAACGCGAACACTTCAATAACAAGGCATGACGGATCCCAATCCCACACAAGGCCTGCACCAACGCACGCTTTGCAGAGAGCTCAGTAGTTATAAAAATTCTAAATATACTAAAAAATTTGCTTCCCAGTTCAGTTTTGTCTTCTAGCGTTGCCTTCAGTCCCCCTACCCAACCCCTTCCCCGAGTGTATCTTTTAAAAAAAATCAAATCTTTTCTTTTTTTTCCCACCCGTGACAGCAAAGGACAAACTTTTAATATTGATTTATTTTCATGGTGACACAGCTTTTGTAATGCACAACCTGCATGTTACAAATATTGCATTGTCTATGAGACTTATTACTAGAAAATTTCTGGGTGGTAACGAAAGCGAAAGTAGATATTGATTCTTCCTGATCAAGCCTTTGTGTCACACACATACACTTCCGCCTGTCGCCACAGCGGTTCAATTACGTTCCCTCTTCACGATTCATCAACCATACTGTCTAGACAGCTACACTACTATTACACAGGCCCTATCCTTTCCCGACCCATCTAAAAATTCCCGACTTTTTCTCGACTTATCACGAAATTCCCGACTTTTTCCCGATTTCCCAACCCGGTGGGGACCCTGTATATATGTATCAACCCCTGCCGTTCTCTGAAAATGATGCATTACAAAGTAAATAAAACACAGGCACTGTTCAAATTCACCACCAACAAATGCAGTTTGTTGATATCTAGGTCCTAAGCTTCAACCTTCTCACACTTATTGAGCAATATACAGAGAGGACAGAATCATAGACTGTATGAGCAAATTTTCTTAAATTTGACCCCCTCCCCCCAACCCGTTACATGTACAAATGTTCCTTTATAATATCAACCTATTTATACTGAAATGAAAGGAAGAATATGAGGGCGAGATTTTTAAAAATGAAAAACAACAACATTGTAAATTTACCAGTCAGACATTTATATAGACCTGCATGTGAGCCTCAACCAGATTGTCTAGCAATGCCAATCGGGCTTTCCCGCGAGGCGAAAATTTGGTCCCCGTTTACGGGCGATTTTGCGGACCCGGCCGAAGCGTAGGTGACTAACTTTGTCAACCTCGGTCTGCTCTATTTCCGAACCAATCCGAATGAAACTCGGCTACCAATCAGAAAATAGGGCAAACTAATGATATGTGGAC